AACTTGAAGCTTTGCACTTCAAAACTGGCTGTACTGAACAGTTTTGACATTTTCAGCAGTGTTTTTCCCCCCCAAAAAAACATATCTCAATTCTCATGGTGTTTTCTTTATGGGTGAAATTCACTTCTGCAGTTCTCTTCAGGGATGTAATGCTCTGATTTTTTTTTTGTCTCATTGGTGCCCTGCTTGCACTGCCTGAGCATGCAGAACTGGTCCAGAATACAGATCATGCTTGCTTATGCAGTTGATTGTACCCAAAGAGTCTATTTCTAGCCTTCTTGGGGACATTAAACTTGTAGCATGCCAATCATATCTTTCGTACCCAAAGAACCTTTCTTCTTGGTTTTTCTTTCCAGATGTCCTTCACCCATGATGGGACAGGAGGAACATCACTGAACTATTTATTAAAAGCCCATATCTAGGAAAACATGTATTTCTCTTACAGAGGGACCACAGCATGAGAAGTATGTAGTATGGTAATGCCTTTGCTGCTTCTTTCTACAGATAGTACTTTTGTCTACAAAGATAAAAATGATGGAGATATCCTAGTCTCCCTTCCAACCCCACTGCAAGAATGTGTCATCTTGGCAGATGTGCTAGAGAAAAGCTTTCCTGGTACCTTGCTAAAATAAAATCAGAGAGTAAACAAGAAAAAAAAAAAAAAAAAACACAAAAAAATCCCCAAAACATGTAGCGTGTGCTTCTTGGCCTCCACAGACCAGCTCCATTTTGATAGTGACTGGAAAAGCAAAAGCTATCAATCACAAAGGTTTGACACTGCCACAGGATCTGCACAATTCAGAGCTTTTTTTTCTGCTCTGTTGGGTGTAATAAGAGTGCCAGGTGCCTACTGCAGAGCTTCTCAGGGGTTCTCTGAGTGCTGGGGAATGGGGAGGAGAGGAAGGAAGGTCAGGAAAAGAAATAGAAAGCTGAGGGAAGGCAGAGAACACAGCAGTGATGAATGAAAGAGCATGTCAGGAAAGGACACTGTAAGAGAGGAAAAGTGCCACAGGAGTAGGAGCAAGAAAGCAATAGAAAACTTAAGAGCTATTTCCAGCTCTTCTGGCTGAGATGCGATGTAGACAGCTTGCTTTCAGTCACTTGCTTTCTACAGCCTCTGACAGACTCTTCTTCCACTGCAAGGAGATCACTGCCCAGCACGTGAAATCGCTTAAACAGCAAACATAATGCTCCCAAAATATATCACCTGCCTACAGCACACATTGCCTGTCCACAGTGGGTACAGAGCAAAGCTGAGAGCAGCACAAGGCTCTTCACGCTGTCTCCAGGCAAGTTCCTCAGCCCTCCTATAGCAGTGAGAAAAGACTTGGTGTCTCCCATCTGGTTTGAAATCCTTCACATGCGCAAGAGAAAGCATTTCACAACCCAAAACTCACCAGCCTCTCTAAGACAAATCCATAAATGAATGCAAGAGGCAAATACAGTGGGAGAGCGAGCGTGCTGTGAGCATGGAGTGCAGGCACGCACACTTCCAGTTCCTGCTGTTCTGGTCTAAGGATTAACTGTCCCCAGCCCAGAGCCACCAGCTCTGTCCTGCTCTCCTCAGCTCAGCCAAATGAGCCTCTTCATCCCTTCAGTCCAAGCAAAGAGGGACTTTTTTGCACACTTTCGGTACTAGGTCTTTGCTAAGCCATGTGTGTGCAATGGAGTCATATGTTAGCATGTGAGCTGTGACCATCTGCATCACCAACACTCCCACCAGGTGGGAATGACTTTTGGTCCCCTCTAGACAGGAGCAGGCTTAGATCAGTGATGCTTCTGAGCAACAGAGTTTTAGAAAAACACTATTTCCCCTTCAAAAAAGCACAGCGGGCAGGCAGGGCCTGCTACATCTCACATGCTATGCTACGCTAGCAACCTCGCTGGTTTGCCTTACCATTTCTGCCACTGACACCATAGACATTGTATTCAGTGTACTTAATTACATGGTTAGCAACAAAACCAGTAACTTCATTTCTCAGGTGAGAATACTGTTTATTGTTTTATCTTTAAAAACAAATATTTTGTTTAAATGGGGTTTTTATGCCAATAATCCTTTGACTCTTTCATCAGACCTTAATGCATAATAATAAAGAGCCCCTGCAATCAACGGCATTTGATTTACACATACATTTACTAGCAGTAACTTACAACTAACCCTGATGAACAACAGATGGGAAAATTGAAAAACTGGCAGGTTTGAAAAGTTTTTTGAGATTGTGGTTGCTACAGAAAAAGCACAAGAGGGAAAACTTTCTCCCCCACATAGTGGGAACATAGTCTGAGTGAACTGTCATTCTTAATGTCTAATATATGGGGAATTCTCTGCAAAGGCACAGTGTTCCTCTCATTAACTTATAAAAGGAACTGGCATGGATTCTACAGTCATTTCTAAAACATTACATTTTCTACTCAAAGTTGAATGTGACCTTCTACATAAATGTTTTACTCCATACTCAGAGCTGACAGCCAGGTTCAGAAAGTCCAATGCCAGTTTGAAGGAACCTAATAAGATACAGTGGATTTCTTCACATTAAAAAAAAGGACATTATGTAAATATATGTTCACATATTTTCCACTAAGAAAAAAGTAGCATCTAGTGCAAGCCAGCCTTGGCTTCCACTATAAGGGAATGCTAAATTAAAAGTGACTATAAATGCAGGCATGGGGACTCCAAACTTACTTACTTTCCTAACAGCCCTATGTAGATCTCTTAGAAAAATGGTATTTGTGGTTTAGACTAATAGTTCATAATATCATTTCACCATGTAGCTAACAAGCATTACAGCTCAAAGAGCAGTCACAGCACAAAAACACCCAACATTTTTATAATCATTTTAAAGAGCTGCATGTTACCGTCGGTATTTCAAACATCTGTATGGAAGCTGGGCATAGAGCCTCTCTACACAATGCAGATTATAATTTTTTGTCTTTGGATAGCATGACCTTTTTAGGCTTTGCAATGATATGCCAGTTAAAACCCCCAAACATACGCCTTTGTCAGTGAGTCCTCCAGAGATTTATTCACGTCCTCAGCTTCATGTATTGACGTCACTGGGACTTTGAGCGGGAAGGACCAGATGACCTCTGAACTTAGCTTCCACTCCTATTTTTCACTGAATCACTATCTGAAAAGGTCAGCATTGCCTAAGGGTCCTCAAAGCCTGATCCCACCTCATCTGAAGTCAGAGACAGCAGTCACAGTAACTGCAGCCCCGCAGAACTAGGTTCCTGTTTATGCTGTGCTGCTGACCCATGTGTCTTAGAAAGTCTTGCAGAAAACATGCACTGAAAGGACTTTCTGAGCATTCAAAGTCCAGCTGCCTTTTCTGATTGCTTTTATGGAGTTCCTGAAGAGACATGGTATTTTTTACCTTGGGGAGGGTTTGTTTTCTATAATGTCCTGTAAATGTTTTGTATTCTTCATTAGGTCATGTATTTTAAACATATATGCATCATGAAAATTCAATTAAAAGTATCTTAATGTTTGTTCGTATACTAAAACTTTGAGGATAAAAGGAGGCTGGGAATGGGGGGCGAGGGCAGTTTAAAAGCCGGACAGAAAACTCTGTCCCAAGTAAATATGCCAAATGCACTCTAGAGCATCTGAAAATCTCTTAAAGTGGTTAATTAGAGACTTTCACAGAGTTTAACATGGCTGTCCCTTTTGCAATCAGGTACATTTTCGTCAAATCACTACAGAAACAGCAGCAAAATGTGTTGCTGATGAATCATTATAAAGATACAGGTATTCCCCTGAGGCTTTGGTAGCATCTCCTGGGGAGCACAGGATGAACTGGCCCTGCAGAGAGCAAAGTCCTTGGACAGTAAGGCAGTCCTCCTCCCAGCATAACTCCAGCTGGAAAACAATGCTATAATTACTTTTAATAACAAAGCTATAGTAATTTCAGCTGTAGCCCGGCCAAAATGAGAGCCTGGCACTCCCAGCATGTCATTGCTCTCATGGCAACAGCAGAGGATATGGTGCTTCTTGCTGGCAAGTTGTGAAACAGAGCAGTAGTTCAACCAAATTGTCCCTAACCAATAGAAGCAACCATCTCAAAACCCCTTTCTCCAAAACCCCTTCACTTTCTTTTCCTTCCTCTTCCAGGGGTGAAAAAAGGAGCACAAGAACAAGGGAAAGCAGAGCTGTGCCTATTCTCTCTGCAGCATTGTCCTTGTAAGCCAAATTCAAGGATCCCTGTCAGATCAGGATCTTCACATGGATAGTTTTCACAGGTTTCAGGGCTTGGCACCAGCAGATTCTTGCCCCTTATGGTATTTCTGGGCCAGGTCTTCACTGTCCTCATTCCAAAGTCCTATTTGGGAAACTGGGAATAACAAACATTGTCCTTGGGCAAGTTCTAAAATTACACCAAAAGGTAAACAAAAGTTACATACTATCTTGAATTACCAGAAATATTTTGATTTCATTCATGTGGAACAAGGTCAGAACCTGCCTGTTCATCTCAAAGCAAGGATAAAAATCACCTATACCTCCCAGCAAATGCAACATATGCAGTTGTTCAGCACTACTTCTTGTAAAACAGGCATTTCAGTTAGCATTTACCTTTTCAGTGGCTATAACAATTAAACGAGCATGAGCTTGTCCTTTTAAAACTCTACACCGAGTTATTTCTTTTGAACAGACCAAATATAAAATGTACGTAGTTTAAAAAGTGGAATCACACTTTACAGAAAACCTCTAAATGGTTAGTGTATTCTCTCAAAAATGGAGTAAGAGGATGTTATGAAGTGCAGAGGATTCGTCTGACATAATTCATGATGTGAACACAGCACAACATGCTGAAGTTGGCACAGCAAGAGTCATACAGCGTTCATAACATGTCCATGCTGTCGCACATGTTCATTCAAAGAGTATGAGAAAAAAAAGGAAAACAATCTAGCAAATGGGGTAGTAGAAGGACTCTTTAGAAAAAAGTTACATTCATAAAACCAGTATAACAACAGTAATGTCAGAAAGCTTCATGCAAGCAGCTCTAGAGGTCTGTAAATGTACAATGCACAGGTACTGCTTCCAAGGTGATTTCCAAGGTATCGATTTCAGTGCTTTTTCCTTCCTGCACAACCACCTTTACTGACTTCTTACTGGTCTGTCTTACTTTTTCTTGGAGGTTGCTCTCCAAGGACACAGTTTCTTGAGGAGCGTATTCCATAGCACTTAGCCTCTCCTGGCAGCATTTTGGATACCTCTGAAAGCATCCAAAAGTATCACTGAACTTTTCACAGGGGAAATAAGAACATTCTTCCACAATTGGCAGAGAATTACAGCTAGGTTCATTTTTGCCCTTATTTGTTCTCAGGCTGGTGTTCAAAGTTGATCTGTAGTCCTGCGGTGCCTTGACACAAAACCAACTCCTGATGCATAGCTGCTGAAGCACTGTGAAATCTTTGGCAATGGTGTTTCGGAAACTGGGCTTCAGGAGGAGATAGATAACTGGATTGTAGAGTGTGGAGGACTTTGCAAAGACAGCTGGCACAGCAAAGGCTAATGGAGGAATCTTATCTATTGATCCAAAAGCTGCCCACATGGAAATGATGGCATAAGGGCTCCAGGCAGCAAAAAATCCAATGCACACAGCAACACTCAGCTTGCAGGGAAAAAGAGAAAACACTGAGTTAAAAAATTGCATGCATGAGAAAAGCAGCCACCAAAATAGTATGTGCATAAAAATACCACCTGATTGAGCCCCCTTATTAAAAGTCTCCCCAAGCCTTCCATCATACCTCAACTGCTATCCAAACACATATTTTTCTATCCACTCTGTTCTGTCTGAAACTTACTTCTACCTGAAATTTTCAAAGTTAAAATGTATCACCTCCTACATTTCTCCTCCTCTTCACTAAAGTTAAATGAAAACTCTTTTTAGACCGAAAAAGAATCCAACCTGAAAGAAAAGATATCATTCTGGGGAAACATTTGTCTGGGTTGCAAAACCATGCCTATCTACTGTCTAATTCATGAGTAATACTGGTTTTCCTGGCTACAGTGTCTTCCATAATTTTACTGTTGGTGCTCAACTCGAGCCACACACAGGCACCTGACAGCAGAAGAACAGATTAACCCTGAAGGTGAATCAAATTAATGAATGTAAGTTAAGTCCCATGAAACCTCAGGTAAGACTTTTAAAAAAAACGCCAACAACCAACCAAGAAACAACGTGTTCTTAGTATAAATTGTCACAGAGATTTTACACATAAACCTTGAGAAATCTGAAGTAAACTGTAAGCATCAGCATATATAGGAAGATTAACCTGCTGGGCATCGTTCTAAGTACTGCTTGTAACAATCGCACATATATTTTAAAGATAGAAACAAGAATATTCATGCTCTTGAAGAAGTTCTGCAAGTCCATTCTTGCCAAAAGTATGTATTTCCAAGTAAGGAAGACAGTAGAGAATTTACAGTAGCAATGGATCCAAGGGACATAAGAAAATACTTTAGGAAAGGGCTTTTGTTTTCAGCCACTAATTGTGCCACCTGCCTGAGCTGCCCTCTGCAAGTGGGAGTACAGAGCTGCTAACCACTCAGTTAACTGCAAATCCACCACTTTTCTCAGCGAGGCTCTGGCTATAGATCCAAGGTTGCAAAAAACATGGGATTTTTTATTAAGAGAGATGACATTGTTGTGTTCAGAGTGAGAATGAAAGAGGCCCTGAGCACAAACACCAGAGAAACATGTATTACATTCCTTTAAGGCATAGAGGGCTCCTCCAAATGCCATTATTTTCTCCCTAAATTTAGTAGTCTCACAAATTTTATTTTGCAAGAAGAAATGAATGGTGATTGCCAAGAAATATATACTACACGTTTTATGAGGAACGTCTATGGCATTTTACTGTTTTTTCTACTAGGCTAAAATCTGTTTATGAATTAGCATCCGTCTCTAGAAAGCCATCCACTATAATAATACTGGCACTGGAGAAATTTACTATTTATGGCTGATAATCATTTAGAGCTCTAACCTGTTAGAGCTCACATGAAGTCCAAAGTTAAAGTCATTTGACAGACTTGAGAAACAAGGTATCTTGGCAGAATGAAACAGTTAAGAAATGATGAAGAGGCAAATCCGCAAGATGGGGTGAACTTAATTTTTCTCTTTTTTTCTATAGCATTCTACTTCTTTACATCAGCTGAAGGTCTGGCTCTATCTACGGATGCGCTGGTGCCATATGCATGGCTTTGTAATCCTCAACTCTCCACGGCCTGCATTCAAGACTTAAACTAAAAGCAGTTTCTGTGGCAAGTAATATGCCTTGGCCCTTCAGAATCACATTAAGAAGAAATGGACATTAGAATCGATTGGTGCATTTCCCAGGTGGCTTATTTATGGTATCAATTAGTCTTTGGGATTGTGATAGGCTTTACATTGTTCCTGTGAAAAAAAAAATTGCCACACATTTTCAAGGACCTCTCAGCCAACTTCCCAAACTGCATCAATACAGTTTCTACAGTAAGGATGGGGTTAATCTTGCATAACTTGAGCTATCAAAAAATTTACATTCTAAATCTAAGTCAGTCTATGTTTTTTATAACATCAAAGGAAAAAGAGACATATCTTCTGGAAGCAACTGATATCACTCAAATATCTATGTCTAAAATAGATGTGATGGATTGCTCTCAGGTCTTTGTCACTAACAATTTTGAGGCTGTACTTAAGACAACTAACTTTTAGTGGAGCACAAATAAGCAAAAGGAAACCCTTCTGAGACTTCTGAGCATATCAACTGTACATCTAAATACATGCATGTAGAAAGAGACTTTGTTATTATCATTTATATTGTCATGCCACATATTGAGAAGTCTGAATTTTAGCACAACAGAGTTCGGAAAACACTTAAAACTTTCTGCCCATGGTAAGAAGTTTCAAGCCAGGCATTTGATGAATTATCTCCATCTTCTCAAGACCAACAATGACTAACATGGTTCCAAGAAGATGCATGTGAGGAGTGGGATGACCAGTGGGATGGCAAAGAACATCAAGATTTTCATAAACACAACAAAAGAGGATAATTTCAATGTGGCAGATACAGGGAAACTGAACATTCACAATAAATTCACCAAAGTAAAGGACACTTTTGTGGTTTTTGTCAGCAAATAAGAACAACAGCAGAATTGTATAAGGACAACAAATGGGGAAACATTGTAGAGGCACACTATACCTTCAAAGACATGTCCTTTAGTACACATTCTTGGAGACGTGGTGTATTTGTATAACCATATCTTAGCTACCTCTGAAATACTGTATGTGCAGTGGTCAGTTTTCCTAAAATGATCAGAAATAGGTTTTTGAAGGTGCACTGTTCCAGTGAAACTAGGGAGGCAACAAAGCATAACGAGACAGCCATGAAGAGGGATTTCAATTACCTGCATATAAACTGCTCAAAGAAAATATCAGAAAAAAAAATTAAAGCGAAATAATGTTTTCCATGAGCTCTTTCACTGTAAGGGATGGAGTACTTGTGAGTGAGCATTGCTTTTTCCTACTGGTTCATACTTAACTTGCCAATGACTTCTAAAAAACTTTCTTAATTCAGTGCATAATACAGTGGCCAAAGGTCACCTAAAAATGTACAGAGCAGGACAGAAACAAAGCTACATGCGTTCTGTAATTCAGACCTCAATAACCAACTAGAATTCTGTGAATATGTCAGGAAAAAACCTTTACTTCTGCCTCAGGTAAGTTATTTCCAGTGATGAGTTCATTTTACCCCTGAAATGGTTGTTCAGAATAAGGGATCTCCACTCAAAGATCTCACAGGACAGAAGAATCCCTACAGTTCTGTCCATCATACAGGGATGTAAGAAAAATATCATCACAGGATACATAGCACAGCTGGTGTATGTCAGTTCAGTCACGCAGACTGGAACAAGCCCCGGCTGTTGGCACAAGCTAAAAATCTGATTCAACTATTTCAAACTAGATGTTTATTGGAGTACGTACAGAATGAGACAGGGTGAATTCAGCTTGTTGACACTTTTAAGTAAATGATGCTTTACAGGACCGAACCGCTGGTGAGAATACCCCTGATGCAATGACAGCCAGACAGTTACCCAGGCACAAAGAGGCAGCAGCACCTTGCTGTCAGCCTACCAGAAGCAAAGTCGTGTTACTTGCTCCCACGAAATGAGTGGAAACTATGCACATGTACAAACCTTTCATAGCTTCCCTCTTAGGATTACTGTAAGTTTCTGTAGTAAGAATGCACAATGCTTGGAAAAGATACTGGTTTTCAAGTAAGTGAAAAACAGATGTTATCAAATCATGTATTTTGAAAACTAATTGAAAAACATAAACCACTTGATCATTATGTTTTTTATTCAAAAAATTATTACAACAGAAATATCTTATTTGAATTCTTGCTGCCTAACTTCTAGCTGTTTAACTCGTAGAGCTATTTTGCCCCATGTTTTCAACAGAATATTACTCATTTCCACATGCAAAAGCATATATGTATTTGAGAACATGCACACTAAAATTATGCATACATATCCTGTAATTGTACACACAAAATCCTCTAGAATATCTAAACTTGTTTAGAAAACCAACAAAATGCCTTTTTCTCCTGCATCTCTAATCCTGCTCACAATGGAATGTGTAATTTTGCATGTCCAGTCCAGATTTCTCAATCTGTCCATCAAGATTATAAAAATTAGAACTAGAAACACAACACACCAACCATACTTGATACATTCAAAAAAACAAATTCTGAAACTACCCATGTTTTTCCACACCCCATCAGGAAAAGTATTTGTCACTTCCAATCTGCTTCCAAATAACAAAGTCTCTGGCCTATGGAAAACTACCAACATCTAGAAAAGATTTCCAGATTTGCAATTCTACTGTATACACAGTGCACCAGCCATTCTCCTCATTTTTTGCTCTCATCTTTCCTTATCACAGTCACCAAAGTAATTTGGATTAAACTACCCATATCATAAAGCATTACTCATTATAATTAAGAGAAAGTACATGAAGAATGAAAACACATGCATTACAAAATGTCTATGTCTATACATTTAATTGCTTCTGAGAAGCATTATTTCAAAGTTATGTTCCAGGCAGGTTTCTAGGAACTCATTTTGGCTGAAAGGATTTTAAGAACCTTGTAAGTAGTCCTAGTAGGAATTGGTCAATCATGTTCAAAGAACCTAAACATATCATATGCCTCAACATCACTTTCTAAAAGTGAATTAACATGTAAGCATCTGGTCTTCAGTGCTGCAAGCCTGAATCATCGCTCATCCTTTTCACAGGTCGCGTCCAGTTTGTCCTGGCCAGTATAAACAGATGCAAAGCATGCTTACTGCAAAAGTGTCATCAGTGAGTGTCACCCCGAGCCTCATGAATTTTTGTATCCTGAAGAATTATCTTGGCAGGCTGGACTGCTTGCATTAGATAACATACGTACTGGGTTTGTGTGGCAAGGTTTTGGTAGCAGGGCGCTACAGGGGTGGCTTCTGTGAGAAGCTGCTAGAAGCTTCCCCCACGTCTGACAGAGCCCATGCCAGTCGGCTCCAAGATGGACCCACTGCTGGACAAGGCTGAGCACATCAGGAATGGTGCTAGTACCTCTGTGATAACATATT